TAAAAGGTAGTATTTTGGCAACAAAAGAAAGTACACAAATCAATGTCTGCAAAGATTGTACGCTAGCATTTCCCCTCCCATCTCGTTTCTGTTTTGTCAAACTCTTACATCGTGATCTCCCCCGCCGAAAATGAAATGCCCCACAATGGACGGCCCAGATCCTCCCCCACTCTGTAACTAAAATATAAATTAAATTATATTCCTTCGTCGTCCTTCCCTCCCACTCCCACTCCCACTCCCACACGCATATTTTTATTTTTTCTTACAAATTAAATTCATAACTTTTATTTTAGTAAAAATAATAATAATCATCATAACTTTTATATCCCTCCACCATCCACCAACTATTAGAACGTGTTTTTTAATTGTTAATTACTTTTTTTAAACACCTATTTTTGTTATTATCTTTATCTTAATTCATGTGAGATTAACATAAATTAGTAAATAAGAAAAAGATTGATGGTTGATCCTCCGCTCTGTAATTATAGAACTGAAAATAATAGCATAGACGACTAAGAAGAACGGCAATAAATATTTTTAAGTTTCATAAATTAAAATAGTTATTTTTTTAGATTAGGTTACAAATTTGGTCCTAAAGTTTGATTTTAATTTTAATTTGGTTCCTTTTAAAGTTGGTGATCTTGTTTTTACGTTTAAACTCATTTCGTTTCTAGATTTGAAAATTTCAATTTGATAACTACAGGTTGGTTTGACTAATGGTTATTGTTGTTTTTAATGCACCGTAAGAAGTTGATGATTTATATTTGGCTAACTATGTTATTTAAGTATGCTAGGATCTAGGTGAGTAAAAAACATAGAGAAAATGCGAGTTTTCATTCGAGTAAAATACAATTTAAGAATAGACGATAAAATTTAACTAATATGGACCAAATGAAAAATGTAAAGTCATAAATACTATATTGAAATTAAATTCAAGTCTACCAAGTTGAAACCTTCAAAGACATATATATACTAAATTAAAGCTGAGTTGAAACCATAATTATCAAATTAATAATTTAACATACTTTTTAAAATTTATAGACTAATAGCATGTTTGATATGACTTTTGAACATAAATATATGTATTTTTTTTAAGGAACCAGTTTACTAGGTAAGAATTACTAATTTAAAGTGTTGAGTAATTAGTATAGCTTTTTTTTTCAATTATTTTAAATAACTAAAACTACCTTTTTAAAAAAATTTATAGTATATTTAATAATAAATAAAAAGAACAACTGAAAAAGTATATACATATTTGAAGAAACACCTAATAGATGTTTCAAAAAGTTATTTTACTTTAGCACTTCACTCCTAAGAGAAAATATAAAAGAAAAAAGAGCTTAAATTAAAATATATACAAAATTTGGGAGGAAAAATAAAAAAATACATTTCCATTGAATAAACGATTTAGTCCATGAACTTAGTATGTAGCAATTTAATCCGGTAATTTAAAATTTGTAGTAACTTACTTCTAACCATACAATCATCAAAATTAAGAGTCAGATTCTTATTATGTAACAATTTAAATATTAATTATTCTACCAACACACTTGATCGTTCGTCATTTTATCCATCTACCTATGTAAAGGATTCGTACTAAACCATTACAAATTTTAAATTTACTTCGGAAACCAAATCGTGATATACGGATGAGTACACGTGGCAGTCGGAGAGGCGGGGCCCACGAGAGGGAGGTGGATTTTGATCATCGTAACAAGTTAACAACAATAACCGGTTCCTTCACCTTCTCTTTATTTTCTTTTTTCTTTCCAAAGAATAAAACCGATGATTATCGGCGGGACCCACTGGGCAATGCCACGTGTCCGTTGCCTGTGAAATAAAAAAAATATTTTTTATTTATTATTTGCAAAAACAAAACGGGGCTCCGGAAGAATACGACAAAATTCGAAGCCCACGTTACACAACTTTTCAACTTCAATTTTGTAATGTAAAAAAGAAAAAATATATATATTTAAAAAAAAAAAGAGTAGAGAAAGCAAAGCCTCCTATGAGATTCTGACAAAAAACATGGCGTCACGCGCTTTCCGGAAGAGGACAAAACACGTGTCGCTCTCAGTGGCAGTGGTGTGTGGTTAGTGAAAGGAAGGAGGGTATTTTGGGGAGTTGAAAAAGTTGGACGAGGGGATGGGTTCGGCAAATAGAGTCCAGACGGAACCCCTTGTCGCCACGTGCTTTGGCGTTGGCCGCACGCACCAAACCCTGTCTCCACCTTTTTTCTTTCTTTTTTTTTAATACCCAAAAAATAATTAATCTTTTTTTTTTCTGTCCTTCATCTATATAACATATTAATTATCGAAAATTTCGTTTTGTTTTCTTTCTATTTTTGAAGTAAATGAGAAAAATACAATGTTTATGATCCTATCGCTAGTTGGAGAGTTAATCGATGTTATTGTAATGAACAATATTTTTTTTAAAAAAAGTGTAACGATTTAGTCCATGTACTCTTGAATTGGTAAAATTTAATGGTCGAGCTTTATTATATGACAATTTAGTCCCTACTTTGAAAAAACTTATCAAAATTAAGTGTCGATTTTTATCATATAACAATTTAGTTTTTGTAATTTGTAAATGTATTTTGTACCTCATCGATTTACCGATCTAAATGTATAAGAAATTTAATAAAATTTTCCATTATAGGGACTAAATCATTACAAATTTTAGACTACGTAGATTAAATTGTTACATACTAAAGTTTAATGACTAAATTGTTACTAATTTGAAAGTACATAGATTAAAATGTTACACACTAAAATTTAGAGACTAAATTGTTATTAATTTGAAAGTATATGAACTAAAATGTTACTAATTTGAGAATACAGAGACTTAAAATGTTATACACTAAAGTTCAGAGACTAAATTGTTCTAATTTGAAAGTACAGAAACTAAACTGTTACCTACTAAAATTTAGGGACTAAGTGATTACTTTATTGGAAGTACAAGGACTAAAAGTGTGTTTTAACCTAAGAATTTCTTAGTAACGAGTGAACATGGATTTGTTGTGAACAAAATTATCGTATGAGGTTTACCAGATCCGACCTGATCAAATCCTACCAAACCCAACTACGTTGGACTCGACCTAGCTACCATATCAACTAGATCTGGCTAGGTCCAATGTGACTCTTTCTATATAAATAGGAAGAGAGAAGCCTTTGAACGCAAGGCAGGTCAACAATTTAACCGATTAGTCTATGTGTTGGACATGGCAACATGCCAAAACGGGGTGATCTATTGGGTTTAGAAACCTATATCCGAATCATGTATTAATAGATATGTTGGCATTTTTTAAAAAAAAATTAAACCGAACCAACCAGAATCAATCATATTTAATCTATGATATAATTAGATTGAGTGTAAATAAAATTTTCAGTTAGTGTATTTTTTTTCTAGAATTGTTCAAACTTTATTGATTTGCATCTATCATTGTTCTTCATGGGAGAGTCAAAGATATTTTCAAGCAATAAAAAAACAATGCCCTAAAAACAAATCATGTTTACATCAAATTTTAGGGAATTTATCATTGAGGAAAATATAAAACAAAACAAAACCATGAATCCTCATATATCAATCAAACTTACAATTCAATCAAAATCAACATGAAATAGACAAAAATTTACTTAAATCTAATAAAAATCAATTCTAACCAAATTGATTTGGTTTTTAATTCAAAACATTCACTTTAGACTAATATGGAAATAAATCAAATCGATTTCATTATTTATAGAAGATATATTTTTAACAACATTTTTTAAAACACTTTTTTTTTTCACAATAATCAATTATGAAACCATTTATTCAACCCACAACTGATTAATAAAAAAAAGTATTTTGAATTTTTTTTTATCTAAAACTACCATACTTTCTAGGATGCCAAATATGAAATTAAATTTATGAATTTTATGAAACTTTTCTAATTTTGATTATAATCTTTCACAATTTTCTATTTTTATCTTGGTCTTGATTTTTCTTTTCCAATAAAGTTCTATGAAACTATTAGTTCGTAGAATAATATTTTTAGTTTTTAATTAACTAATTTTTATTTAGCAACATAGTAATGGTAGTCGTCTAAGTTATTTCAAATAAATTAACACGAGGCAGATGAGTTTTTTAAATTTATGATTAAACATGTTCATTGTATTCCATATCAACTTGACCGACATATTTTAAAGAGTGTTTCCATTTGTAAATGATGGATTCCAATCTCCTTCTAAATAAATGACATATTTTTTGGTTGGTGATCTAAGAATATGTTATTTTTTTTAATTGATTGAGATAAAACTATATATTTAAGCCTACTCCATAAGAAGACTTCACAATTTATCACACACGAAAAAAACCTTTATTATCTCATTTATTTTTTAGGTTAAATTACTAAAAAAAAAATCATAGATTTTATATTTGTTTAAAAGTTTCAATACTACTATTGACTTTTCATAAACATTTCAGAAATACTCTTTAAGTAAACCATCGTTAATATTTTGAACGGATAGTTGACGCAACAGAATATAAAACGACGTGACAATTAAATTGGGCAGACACAATAGAGAAGCGAGCTATATTTGGATTAAGCGAGCTCGGTTGACGATAGAGGAAGAAGACTTTTAACGCAAAATTGGCACATTAATTGTCATATCATTCCAAATTTTGTCTCTGTCAAATTTTCCTTCAAAATATTATTCCATGCTGGGTCAAAATAGTGAAAGTTTTTAGAATAAATGACAAAAGTAAAATCCATGATTTTTTTTTATTTTAACATTTTTTTAAGAAATAAAAAAGTGGATGTAAATAGTGAAAAAAGAATGGCGTCCATAATAAACTATTAGAAAAAATAAAAAGAATAATAATAATGAAAAGAAAAGGAAAAAAAAAAGAAGAATTAATGTAAAAGAACCAAAAAGACCCAAAATGGCTCTGACATTTGCCATTAGCCCATTCTTCCGTCCGAACCTTTCCATTTCCATAAACATTGACTGAGCTCCATAAACCCTTTCCTCTATTTCTTCTTCCTTCTCCTTTTTCTTCCTTCAAAAACCTCACAACCCCACATTCTAAATATTGTGGGAAACCCAAAAACCCAAAAGAAAAAAGAAAAAAAGATTGAACTTTGAAGGGAAGAAGAAGAAAACAGAGAAACCCAACAAAAAAGAAAGAAAGAAAAAAGAATTACACAAAAGAGAAGAAAAATTGAAATGGTAGGTCCCATTTCAACAGTTTAATTCGGCCGCCCGATTTGTCGTCTCTCTCGTCTCCGTCCACCACCGTCGTTTCTCCCCTTTCCTTTGCGTTTGACCATCACAAACACGCCCCTCTCTTTGTACTTTGTCTTTCTTTTAATTTTCTGTATTATCCTTGATCTTCCCAGCCTCTCTGAGCGCTCTCTGTTCCCTTATTTCTGAAACACCCGTCTCTTCAATGTCCAGTGAACTCCAAACGAGGAATCAATCAGAAAAAGAGAGAGAAGAAGAAAACAGGGAAAAGGGTGTTGTCAACACACCACTACACAGATTGAAGAACAAGAACTAGGGGGCCAAACCAAAACCCAAGTTGGGATTGAGGAGTAGAAACCCATTTTGCTTGAGGGTTTGGTTGCTTTCTCTGTTGTGTGTTGTGTTGCTTGCCATGAGAATCAAAGGGTTTTTGTGACTGGAGATCACCCTTGTTTGATTTTCTTTGGTTTTGGATTTCTCTGTGGTTTGGGGGTTTGAGTGGAGAGGGGGAGATGGCTGGTAGCAATGAAGTCAACCTTAATGAATCTAAGGTACTGCTGCTATTAGTGTTACTCTTCTCTTTTGTTTCTTAATCCGTATTCGTTTGCTGCCTCTATATGCTAGATTTTGAATTTGTTTTAATGATTTCATTTATGGGGTCTCTGTTTCTTTCTTTTCTTTTGGCTTTTCATTGCTTTTAATGGTTATGATTTTGGGTTCTCAAGCTTTCTTGCCTGTATGCTGAATTTTGGGAAATTTTTTTGGGCTAAAGATGGGAGCACTTATTTTGACTTGAGAGGAGTTTTTTTCTTCTTCTCTTTTGGAGGCTTTCTGTTAAATTACTAGACCTGCCTTTGTGTATTTCTGATGGTTTTTGGCTAACTATGACTTATGAGCTGGTTTTAAGAGTGTACTTCCTGGTGTGCTTTGGTTCTCTTTGTTTCTTTCCATTTCTTCCAACTTCTGGCCTTGAGTGAATGTTGGGAAGTGGTGGGTTGGAGATTTTTGAGTTGGGTTTGCTGCAGAAAATCTTGGAGATGATATTTTTGTTGAGAATGATCGTGTTCTTATCTGATTTTAACGGAGTTTCAACTGATTCTTTCCTCTTTGTTTTCTTGGCCTTTTTCACTATCACTTCATTCGGTTATTCCCTTCTTGATGCAGAGGGTTGTTCCACTGAATACATGGGTGCTCATCTCCAATTTCAAGCTAGCATACAACATCCTCCGCCGCTCGGACGGGACCTTCAACCGAGAGTTGGCGGAGTTCCTCGAGCGTAAAGTCCCAGCCAATGTGATACCAGTTGACGGGGTTTTCTCATTCGATCATGTCGATCGAGCTTCCGGCCTTCTCAACCGTGTTTACCAGCTCGCCCCGGAGAATGAGGCTCAATGGGGCATCATTGATCTTGAGAAGCCCCTGAGCATGTCAAAAGTTGTTCCTGTCATTCTGTTTTTCCATGGTGGGAGCTTTGCTCATTCATCAGCCAACAGTGCTATCTACGACACCTTTTGCCGCCGCATTGTGAACATCTGCAAGGCGGTTGTAGTCTCAGTTAACTACCGCCGATCGCCCGAACACCGCTATCCATGTGCATACGAAGATGGCTGGGCTGCACTCAAATGGGTTAAGTCGAAAACATGGCTGCAAAGTGGGAAGGACTCTAAGGTTCATGTGTATTTGGCTGGAGATAGTTCTGGTGGCAACATTGCTCACCACGTTGCAGTGAGGGCAGCTGAAGAAGACGTCGAGGTATTAGGCAATATCCTTCTCCACCCAATGTTTGGGGGTGAAAAGAGGACCGAGTCGGAGAAGAAACTCGATGGTAAATACTTCGTAACCATCCAAGACCGAGATTGGTACTGGAGAGCATATCTCCCTGAAGGAGAAGACAGAGACCACCCAGCTTGCAACATTTTTGGTCCCAAAGCCAAAAGCATTGCAGAACTCGACTTCCCGAAAAGTCTAGTAGTTGTTGCCGGGCTGGATCTGATGCAAGACTGGCAACTCGCCTATGTCCAAGGCCTAAAAGACTCCGGTCATGACGTGAAGCTTCTCTTCCTCGAGCAGGCGACAATCGGGTTCTACTTCTTGCCAAACAACCAACATTTCTACTGTCTAATGGAAGAGATAAACAACTTCATCAACCCTTAACTGTTAATACAACTACTTTAACTTTACTACCTAAGAGAAAAAGAAAACAAAAAAAAAAAGAAAGAAAGAAGAAGAAGCTGCCACACCTAACAGAAGCTTTGACATATATGACTTGGGTTTCTTTTCTCCCTTTTCCTTTGTAGTTATATATCTATATATATGTTATAWATGATATATATATTTACTTACAATATCACCACTTTCTGGTACTTAATTAACATCTTGGGATTCTGCTTATTTTGGTGCTGCTGCTGCTGCTTATTGATTAGTCAGGAGCTAAGTGGCCAAATTTTATAGAGCTGAGATGATGAGAAGAATGAAGAGTTTGAAAGAGCAGAAAGTTGAGATGGCCAAACCAGAAGCCCAAAAAGTTTGCCTTCCTGACTCTTCCAGCCATCAAACCAAGTGAGTGTGTGAAGTGTAGGGGTAAATTTTTGTTGGTTTTATCATATGAATCTTTTCGAGGAAGAAAGAAAAAATGGGCATTCTGATTGATGATGATGAAGCACTAATTTTTCACAAACAAAGGCTTGGTTTATGCTCCAATCTTGTTTGTGTATTGTATGTTATACTTGTGGATTTAGAGCTAAAGTATAAAGGGATTTTGTTTGTCTACTCTTCTTTTAGTTGTGTACTTCTTCCCCCCTCTCTCTCTCTCTCTTCTCTTTTTTTTTTGCTCTTTTTTGTGTGGTAGAAAAAGGGTCTGAGACTTTAGTTGGATTGGAGTTTTCTCTCTGTCTCCCAATTCTTGTTTTAGTTGAACTACTATTGGTTTCCCCCTTTTCCATGGCTATTTACTCGAGTTATGTGCAAGTTTTTCCGATACCCAAATGTTGTAAAGTTAAGTATTTCACGGTCTATTGTGATTAGACGAGATGAATGTAGAAACCAGCCAAAATACCCATGATAGTAAACAAAAAGAGAGGGTAAGTTCCTATTGCGATAGGCTCTCAGCTCCATACAAATCAACTCTAAAATTTCTCTCGTTGTCAAACTTTGCTACGACTCTCTACCCAAGATACTAAATGTTGAGCTTTTCAAACCAAAATATTGTGGAGTCCGACAAGATTACTCAAAATGGAGCTAAAAGAAACCAACTCAAACAGCTACAAAAGTCCAAAATTAAGATGATAACTCGTTACAACATGCTCCCTTCAAGARAMMA